TGCACGATCTGCGCTTCTTCGGGGGCCTGTTGCGTCGCGCTGCCTGTCTGCGCCGCTGCCTGGGACCGCCGGGCGCCCACTCGCTCAGCGAGGAGCTGGAGTTGGAGTTCCACAAGCGGAGCCCCTACAACTACCTGCAGGTCGCCTACTTCAAGGTGCAGACCTGTCCGCTGACTGGGGTCCTTCTGGGCGTAGGTGAAGGCGACCCGGGGGAACTTGGCGGGGGGCCCGGGAAGGATCCGCAGAGAGGGAAGGTGGTCTCGGCCCGGGAGCTCTCCTCAGACCCAGGGAGGGCAAGGACGCTGCTGGGAGACCTGCCTAGCCCGCTTCGCATAGTCAGCGGTAGCCCCAAAGGTCCAGCCTGGGCTTAGGGCACCCATCAACCGAAACATGGCCCGTGTTTCCCCGACAGGCTTCCTAAAGGGACCCAAAGTGGCAGCTTGGGTTTCTCACCCTGATTTCATCGTAGTTGTCCGAGAGAGAAGCCCGGACCTTTCTACACGATCTTCCTTCCGGTTCGTTTTTCAGTGATGCTTTTCCTGCTGCCTGAGTGCCACCGCTTTCTCTCGAGACGTGAGGTTGCCACGTCGCCAGTAGGGGGTGTCTGGCCCCTCCCTGTGGGGGACCCTCTGGCGAGTCTGTCAGGTTTCCAAAGAAATGAGTAACTAGGAATTCCAGAGTGCCTAAGTCCAAGTATACGTGGATTTGAAGCACTCCTGGGTGGCTTGCTTGATGATGATGATGATGATGATGATGATGATGATGGCTTGCTTGATGATGATGGTGCTGGTGGTGGTGGTGGTGGTGGTGGTGATATAGCCAGCACATACTTTCAGCACTATTTTGAATACTTTGCGTTTATTAATTCATATGCCCAGATCCTGGCAATATCCTGTAAGGTAGGTACTACTTATTAGCCCCATTTTATTGGGTGAAAAAAGAAGGAGCTGCGCTTTATATCTGTTATGTCCATGGTTTGATAGACTTTCAATTCAACCTGAAGAGAGACCTGGAAAACCTTTGGAACCTCGGATTTCCACCTCTCCACAAATATTTTGTGTACACAGTTCTGCTCCGTTCCTCCTAATTACGCAGAAGAGTACTGGGTTTGAAACCAAAACAATTGGGCTATCTTTAGTCATGTCACTTAGCAGCACTTTTTAAAAGTCTTTGACAAACATTTATTGAATACCTACTACATTCCAGTTCTTGTGCAAGTAATTAAAATGCTAGACTTTATGTTTTTTTGTTTGTCTTGCTTTGCTGTTAAGAATCACTATCATGAGGGGTACTGAAATGATATGTACATAGGCCTGTGGGAGCACAGAGGAGGGAGATCTATCTTTGTCTCAGAGAAATTAGAGAGACTTGAAAAAAAAGTCCTAGCTGGCGTGGCTCAGTGGATAGAGCGTCAGCCTGCGGACTGAAAGGTCCCAGGTTCAATTCCAGTCAAGGGCATATCCCCAGTAGGGGGCTTCCAGGAGGCAGCTGATCAATGATTCTCATCATTGATGTTTCTGTCTCTCTACCCCTCTCCCTTCCTCTCTGAAATCAATTTAAAAAATATGAAAAAAAGGAAGAAAAAAAAAGAGGTGACATTTGAAGCTGATTCTAGATATTGCTAGAAAGCACCTTGTTCCAGGTAGAGTGAGGCAGACTGGGAGGAGAATTCTGTAGGCTTCAGGGAGCCATCATCAGAAGTGGGCTTTAGAATGCTGATCCTGGAAGCCATGTGAATAAGCCTTGGAAGGAGGAGAAAGTGGTGGCAGGGCGAACCATTAGGAGATGAGTGCCGTTGTTCACATGAGAGAAGGAAACTAAAGGGTTGGGGATGGAGTGAGGAAATGGGGGAGAATAGAGAAAGCAAGAACAATGTTGAAAGATGGGAGGGAGAATAAATCCGTAAAAGGAATTGACTTAAAAGAATTTATGATTTTATAATTAAGGGAACTGAGGTCCAGAGATGGGGATTATTGACCTTGGGCCACCGCTATTTTAAGGTTACAGGCTTTATTTTATTTTATTTATTTTTATTTCTTAAAGTATTACAAAGAGTATTACACATGTCTCCTTTTTACCCCTCCTTGACATTTTAAATACTTTGCATATTTTAATTCATTTGCCCATTAGTTAATCATTAAATCATCAGTGATTTAGTTTGGATTCTACATATGAACCTCTGTAACTTTGATGTGCTGGAGTCCATTGCTATGGGCATTATTGTGGCCTGTAGCACATCCCTGCCCCGCCTCCCCCCAGATATTTGTATAACCTCATGAGTCCTGGATTTTGAGTCCGAAGATGCCATGCCTGGATGTTGTAGAGCAAGCATGTCAAACTCAAAGGCTAACACGGGCCAAATAAGCAAGGTCTAAGTTGATGTGGGCCACAGAAAAACAAAAGCTTCAATTTTCATAGAAACATAGGTTTGTTTTGATAGAGACATGCTGGATACGAAGGGCTGAAATAAATGAGTAATCGTTAACATAAAATAATAGAACATTTTAATAAAAATTAATATTTTCTTGAACATTCTAATGACATGACAATTGGCTGCTAAAATATTCGCTGCTAGTATTAGTGGAGAAAAATGGTGTGCCTGCACATAAGGTGCATAAGGGAAATGAATGCAACATGATTATAATTATCAGTCATTAGCAAACACTGTAGTTCGTTACTAATAATTAGAGGCCCGGTGCATGAAAATTTGTGTTCTTGGGGGGATCCCTCATCACAGCCTGTGCCCTCTAGCAGCCCAGGACCCCTTGGGGGATGTTCACCTACCAGTTTAGGCCCGCTCCCGAGAGGATCGGGCCTAAGCTGGCAGTCAGACATCCCTCTGGCAGCCCTAGAGCCCTCGGGGGTTGTCCACCTGCCAGCTTAGGCCCACTCCCTGGGGGATTGGGTCTAAGCCTCAGTCACACATCCTTAGCACTGCAGAGGAGGCGGGAGAAGCTCCCACCACTGCCGCTGCGCTTGCAGCCATCAGCCCGGCTTGTGGCTGAGCAGAGCTCCCCCTGTGGGAGTGCACTGACCACCAAAGGACAGCTCCTGCGTTGAGTGTCTGCCTCCTGGTGGTCAGTGCACATCATAGTGACCAGTTGTTCCTGGTCATCTGCTGTTAGGGTCAATTTGCATATTACCCTTTTATTATATATAACAGGATATTGTAAAAAGTAAGTTACAAAATTCTTATTAAAATGTTTCTTACAGCCCTGACTGGTTTGGCTCAGTGGATAGAGTGTTGGCCTGAGGACTTAAGGGTTCCGGGTTTGAGTCTAGTCAAGGGCATGGATCTAGCACACAACCACCTGGGTTGCAGGCTCAATCCCCAGTAGCATGCGTGCAGGAGACAGCCTATTGATGTTTCTCTCTCATCGATATTTCTAACTCTCTATCCCTCTCCCTTTTCCTCTCTGAAAAAAATCAATGAAATATATATTTTTTAAAAATGTTTCTTACATACCGTTATATTGGCTGCACAGCAAAAATATTTGTTGTGGGCTATATGGGGCCCGCAGGCTGCGAGTTTGACATGCTTGTTGTAGAGGACCTTAGTATTTGTCAGCCACCCACCTTTTCCTTGAATATATCATTTTATGCAAAAAAACCCCACACGTTTTTGCCCTGGGCATTTTGGCTCATGGGTGGATAGAGCGTTGGTCCTTGAGCTGCAGGGTCCCGGAAACCCCAGGGTTTGATTCTGGTCAAGGGCATGTGCCTCAGTTGCAGGTTGCAGGCTGGATCCCTGGCCCCCCGATCGGGGCGTGCTGGAGGCAACCAGTTGCGTGTTCCTCTCTCTCTCACATCAATGTTTCTCTGTCTCTCTCCCTCCCTTCTCTCTCTTTAAAAAAAAAAAAGGAAAAATATCCTCAGGTGAGGATTAACAAACTAGACACTTTTTCTAAGCATATTCTTTCTTAGACATGGTCTGATTGTTAACTGCTCTTTCTCCTCTAACCTTAAATAAATTCTTAAAGCCTTGGATTTTCTTCAGCTCAGTCAGTACATGTAAATCTTGAGAATACATTATTTGAGCAGTCAGTCTTCTATAGTGTTCCTTCTACAATATGACCTTTGTTTTAAAATAGAACATTTACACTGTTGAAGCATTACCTCCTGTAATTTGGAGCGCCCCTAATCCTGATTTGGGGAATAACTGAAAATCTGCCCAGGGCCTTGTGCTTCTAATCTCTGGTATGTAGTTCCTGCCATAGGTGTTTTCTGGGGCGGACAGGGGCGGGGCACACTGAATGGAAGGCTCAGGAAGGCTGCGATTTCCTGTTTACTGTGGACGGCACATGTGGACACAGACCTTCAGGATTTGGATGTGAGAATCGTGTTCTTGTGCTTCATTCTTAGATAAACAAGTTGGAGAAAGCCGTAGCAGCAGCGCACACCTTTTTCGTGGGCAACCCTGAGCACATGGAGATGCGTCAGAACCTAGACTATTACCAGACCATGTCTGGGGTGAAGGAGGATGACTTCAAGGATCTTGAGGCCAAACCTCATATGGTGAGAAACTTTATCTCCTTCTTTCTTTTTATCACAGTGATACTTACTAGGATTGTTTTCTGATTGCAGAAGTAATGTATGTT